AAGTAGTGTAACATTAGTCACATAGTCAGTCCAGTGGATGTTTAGGATTGTACAGAGGCAGCGCCGATGGAAGCGTTGGAGGAGTCGCAGGTGGTGGCGGTAGACGACCCATGATTCAGACCCATATAAAAGAGCGGACAGTACAATGGCTCTGTAGACACTAATCTTTGTACTTTTCTTCAGGTGTTTATTGCACCAGACTCTTCTATGGAGTTTTCCAAAAGCTCTTAATACTGCACAGAGAAAAGGCTAACAGTTCATATATAAAAACTAAAATAGTACCGTTACTTGGAAGCATTTCCTGATATAACTGACAAACTCTACGTCACATTGTTCAGTCCCCATAAAAAAAACAACGTAACTTTGAGCATTAGTTCCTCTTAATTTTCAAGAAATTATTGGTTCTGTGTTCATGAGACCTTTTGTAGTGGCTTCAACATTACTGTTCCTACACATGTCCCTGGAGGTCAAAATGACAGGAAACAAAGTATCTGCTTTTGTATAGTTAGAGACTCCAAGGTGAAAAAATGTTCATATTATGAAACTTTAGGCTCCTAAATAATTCCAAAAGGTCTAGCAGCTATAATTTGAGAAGACTTTAGCCTGAGTCAAAACCGCTTCAGTGGTTGTTTCCTAATGAAGCCATAGGAAAGAAGAGGTATTAGTAAAAGTATTATTGTGTTAACCAAAGTGGCCTAGTTTGCCAAAATAAACACAATTGTGTGTACACTGCTCTAGACCATGAGACTGTTAAAAGTCTAGGCATTGTCCCATAGAAACCACTGCCATTAAACATTTTTTTAGAGGTCTGGGTAGAAGAAAACCTTTTAAGTAACAAGCAGCTCTCTAAATATCCCTTAAACTTCAGTAAGTTTCATAAAATAAAAGAAAGTACTTGGCACATTCCAGCAGTAGGAAAAATGGCAATAGCCTCTTGTGCAAAGACAGAACACAGTTGTGGAAATGAACTGCTAAAGATATTTTCCTAGTTCAGAACACACAAAAGATTTGGAGTTCAAGAGAATCAGATTTTAATGAAGCACTGTATCTATCTCATCTGATAGAGATGATGTAGTTTATATTGTTTAGAAAGACTGGAAGCATGGAGAAAGGCCAACTGATAGAAACTCCACTATACCCTCAGCTGAGATTTATAGACTTTCAGAAATGGCAAGACATCTGATACGGCAACAGAGCTCATCAGGTAGCTGTAGGGAGAAAAAGGATCCTCTGAAGTTGCTTCTTCTCCAGGCCGAACAGGTCTAGTTCTCAGTCTCTCTTTGCATGTCATTTGCTCCTGACCCTGCCTCTTGGTGGTCCTCCACAGCGTTCACTCCTGTATACCAATATCCTTGTGCTGAGAGCAAAAAACCAGACACAGTACTCCAGATGTGGTCTTACAAGTTCAAAATAGAAGGGAAGGATCATTTCCATGTACCAGCTGTCAGTACTCTTACTAATGCAGCCCAGGACACAGGACCAGGTTGCCAAGAGAAGTTGTGGATGCCCCCTTCATGGAAAGAGGTCAAGGCCAGGCTGGACGAAGCTTTGGGCAACGTGGTCTAGTGGGAGGTGTCTCTGCCCATTGCAGGAGGGTTAGAACGAGATGATGTAGAGGTAAGTGATGTAAGGTAAGTGTTGAGGGTTAGCATCTCATTCTGTCATCTTGTTAGCACCTTAACATACTTGCATCTTGCAAGGAGTTGCATTATATTTGTTACAGACAAAGGGATGAGGGAGCCAGACATGCTGAACTTTCTTAGGTTTGCACCTTCTTTGGTGAAAGAATCCTGAAGCTATGATTTACTGTCATTCTTTTCAAATACACGTGCAACACAGTAATTCAAGAGGAAGGAATAAGATCTTTCCACTAGAGAACAAGAAGACTCATGATCACTTTTAATCTTCCTCCTCCACAGTTCTTGAGTTTTCTTTCAATGTATTTAATGTAGATTGTCATACAAACATTGCATGATGTACAAAATTAAGATAAAATTTTTCATAGCACAGTTTCAAATATGTCAGTAAACAAATAAAAACTTTGTCAGTTAAAAAAATTCTCTTTCTTTTTAGAAACATTGTTTTCAGGTAAAAAATACCCTAGAACGCAGACATGTAAAATCACTTTTTCAAACGAGAAAACAGTGCACTTTAATAGTGCAGAGTTCAGTGTTTCGCAACTACCTGTCATTATGTACCATAGTGACCAAGTCTTGTTCTCAACCTAACTCATTATACCAGGTAGCTGTTCAAACCGCAGACTGCTTGACGTCCAGCTTTACAATATCCTGAAGTTTCGGCTGGTATTCACCTCTTATTTGCAATAGTATGATAATAATTAGTTTATCAAGTGCCTATAGCACTGTTTCACATCTTGACTTAGTAACGTCGCACAGGTATTTTTGACTCAGTTTTACAAGTTTAGCTGAAAATCTCCAGTCTTTAGACAATCTGTGCGCAGTCAAATATAAGTAATGAAAGAGCTCTGTAACAACCCCAACACCTCCTGAAGCATATTAAAAAAAAAATAGCAAAATCCCAAAATCTACACCCCAAACTCCAAAGTTCTTGTTTACAACAAATTCCTTTAAGCTAAGGATTTCTATCTGGTGTTTTAAGTTAATCCATCTTAGCAAGGCTTTGATGCATAACTTGATTTTTTCAAGCTAGAGATGCTTACCTGACTCACACGCAAATGTCTTTGACGTCTCATCATGAAAGATAATTGCCACTGCATGCTTCTTTGTCTCTCGAGGCAATCTAGTTATGTTTTTGATATTGTGCAGCTCAGTTACCTTGAAATGAAGAAAAGTATTTTAGGCTATAAATAGTACAAATAAAATTATTAACCATAACTATTCTTGTAGAAAAGTTACAGCGTAAACAATGCAATCTATTTCCTTTTTCCTTTGATGCAAATAGAAAACTACAATTAACACAAACAGAAGAAAAATATGTTATTCCAATCAAAGCTGGCAGCACAGTCCATATTAAACCACTTAATACTGCGCATTACAAAAATCTTTTTCTCAGTTTCTTGGAACTCTGGGCAAACTTTATCTATTGAGTTAGCTTTTCCAGGCAGGACATCTGGCTCAGGCAGAATTAATTCTTAAAAATGTCATCTATATGAGCTTAGCCATTTATGACTATGGACAAAATGGACTGAATGTGGGTGGAGTATTTTGGTTTGTAATTCTTATTCTCCCTGTGCACAGCTCTAGCATTCCTTTTCATATGCTGGGAAGAAAGTCTCTTAAGAGACAGATATTTGATGTGGTGCAGTAAAAAAAATGGAACATCTTGGGCTAAAGACATTGCAAAAAGAGACTGAGAGCAGACGAGCAGTGAGAGACATCAAGAAGCCTGGGAAAGAAACCAAGATGAAGCACTAAGTGGTACGTGTGGGTGCTGATAACAAACCTGAGATCAGAACTGAAGACTGCTATGGGCCTATCTTCACGGCCTTCAGCAAAACAGTTTGTAAACATCTCTGCTGTAACAGGTGAGCTTAAACTGGATGTGGTTCTCTAGATGTGGTCTAATGAAAGCTGAACAGTGTGGGATAATCATTCCTGCATTGTCTGGGCACGGTCCTCTTCATACAGCCCGTGAAGTCGTTGGCCATCGCACATAGTCCCACGGACTTTTCCGACAAGGCTGCTCCCAGCCTGTCCATCCCAAGCCTGTGTCATTGCAAGAGCTCCTATATATTTCTCTATTTTTTTGCTTGGTAGGAAGGAAAAGGCCTGAACACCACAGATACCACTGTCCCATTAAAGAAATAACTAAAAACTCGTGTTAATTTTCCGTCATCTGTGCATGGTAAATGATCTAGTATGTGAAAGGGCTCCTGTGGCTCACCCAAGGCACTATTTTCAATGAAATCTCACAAAAGGGAAAATGAAAGAATTAGTAGGAAGAGAGCAGACTCTAGAGAGGGAACAATACCAAACTCAGAAGTGATTACTGAATTCTGGAGACCCAGAAGAGCCAATAGCAGGAGACACAGAAGATATGGATCTACTAGTTTTGCTAAATAAGAAGAGAATATAAAAGCAAAAGATTTTAAAAGATTTGGGACACAAAAACATCAAGGTTATTCTTAAAGATACTTTATAATTTTTAGATAATTTTAAGTTGCACATAGCTTTCCTCTCAAAGGTCCAAAAAGATAACTGACAGTGCAATATGAAAGGGAAAACAACAATATGAAGAAAAAAAAACTCCAGTGATTCTAACATAAGCAAATGAAACAGAAAGTGGTATTTTCATGTGTGTGTATGTGTGACTGTGCACACCACGTGGAAGAAAACCTTAAATCTTGCTACATTAAAAAGGGGAAATTTAGTTTTCTGGAATAGCAGGAAAGGAAATAGAAGTGCTTTGAATAGTGCCAAAAGGGCATATTAATCCTTCTTCCAGTCTTTCTCAGACAGTAGAGAGCTATGCTTTTCCATTTGAGTGTTATAGATTACTGAAAGATCCTGCAGTGCTGCTAAGTTTGATAGTAGATCTGAAAAAATATAATGTTCCTGGCATGAAAGCTACATAATTTCCACAGTAATTTTTGTTTGAAACATAACTACAGACAACTGAGGATGCACACGTAGGCATTTTTAAAGATTTTATGGATTGATCAGTACATTAAGCCTGCTTTATTTAATATATATTGATGGAACATGTTTCTTCTGCAAGATCATTCACACACTTAGGAATATAGTCAGCACAAAATGAACAAACAATAAAATTTTATTTTATCTGTTGGTGGGAATTTAATGTCTGAAAAAGACAATGAAAACACCACCAAATTTTGATGTGGTGCACCAGAGATTTGGCTGAAAAAAATGCAAGGCAACTGAAGAAAAACAGTCTCAGTGCAGGGGAAAAGGGGCTTTGTTTTAAATGCATTTCAACTTTCCTTTGTCTCTGAAATCATACTGCCACCCTAGACAGTACAGAACTTCTCAAAATTCCACTGTGACAGGCAAAGAATTCCATTAATTGCCTCTTCCAAACTTCCTTTTACTTTTCTTAAAGCAAGTTTTTTTGAGTCAACCACAGTTTCACATGGAAGTCATATTTGTCTCTTGAACACCTTTCCACAAAAAGGGACTTATATCAAACTACCATGTGATATTGTGAGATACCTCTTTTCTTGTCAAATGCTTTAATGGTTTAACATGCGTAACCAAAATATTTGTCAGTTAAAAAAATAATTAAAGAATTTATTTTAAAAAATCATATTCTTCACCTTGAAATGCTTTGTTTTACAAAAACTGAAGGTTTCCTTGGAAATAATACTGTTTCAGTCATAATATTCTGAGGATAAAGGGAATTTATATGGATGTTAGTTAGGAAAAATAATTTTACTAAGCAAACAGAAAAAAAGAAATGAGAAAAAAGTAACAGCTGTAGCACTGAGTTCCATCATCATATCTGAGATAGCAGCAAATTTTAGAGAATCAGAAAATGGTTGAAGTTGGAATGGATCTCAGTACGTCAGGAAAAATCTCCGTTCCTTATTGGATGAGGAGGGGAACATAGTAACAGAAGATAAGGAAAAGGCTGAGTAACTTAATACCTTCTTTGCCCCAGTCTTCACCAAGAAGATTGGCTGTCCTTAGGACAGCTGGGCTCCTGAGTTAGTAGGCAGGGATGGGGAGCAGAATATCCCTCCTGTAAGCCAGGAGGAAGCAGTTAGTGACCTGCTGTGCCAGCTGGATCCCAACAAGTCCATGGGTCCGGATGGAATTCATCCTAGGGTGCTGAGAGAGCTGGCAGAAGAGCTGGCTAAGCCTCTCTCTATCATTTATCACTGATCCTGGCTAACTGGGGAGGTCTCATGTGACTGGAGGTTGGCCAATGTGACACCCATCCATAAGAAGGGTCAGAAAGAGGATCCGGGGAACTACAGGCCTATCAGCCTGACCTTGGTGCCTGGCAAGGTTGTGGAGCAGATCATCCTGAATGCCATCAAGTGGCATGTAGGAGACAACCAGGGGATCAGGCCCAGTCAACAGGGGTTTAGGAAAGGAAGGTTCTGCCTGACCAATCTCATCTCCTTCTAGGACTGGGTGACCCGCCAAGTGGATGAGGGGAAGGCTGTGGATGTGGTCTACCTCAGCTTTGGCAAAGCATTTGTCTCCCACAGCATCCTCTTGGAAAAACTGGCAGCCCAGAGCTTGAACAGGTGTACCCTTCGCTGGGTTAAAAACTGGCTGGATGACCAGGCCCAGAGACTGGTGGTGAATAGTGCTGCATCCAGTGACCAGTGGTGTCCCCTAGCCCAGTCCTGTTCAACATCTTCATTGATGACTTAGATGAGGGGATTGAGTCTATCCTTAGTAAGTCTGCAGATGGCACCAAGCTGGGGGGGGAGTGTCAATCTGCCGGAGGTGTGCCAGCAGTGTGCACAGGTGGCCTGGAAGGCCAATGGCGTCCTGGCTTGTATCAGGAACAGTGTGGCCAGCAGGAGCAGGGATGTAATTCTGCCCCTGTGCTCAGCACTGGTGAGGCCTTCCCTCGAGTGCTGTGTGCAGGGCTGAGCCCCTCACTGCAAGAAAGACATTGAGGTGCTGGAGCGGGTCCAGAGGAGAGCAAAGAGGCTGGGGAAGGGACTAGAGGGAAAGTCCTGTGAGGAGAGGCTGAGGGAGCTGGGAGTGTTTAGCCTGGAGAAAAGAAGACTCAGGGGGAACTCTTTACAACTACCTTTTCCCAGGCAACCAGTGACAGGACAAGAGGGCACAGCCTGAAATTGCATCAGGGAGGGTTTAGGTTGGATCTCAGGAAGCACTTCCTCATGGAGAGGGTGCTCAGGCATTGGGATGCACTGCACAGGAAAGTGGTGGAGTCACCGTCCCTGGAGGTGTTTAAGGAGAGGCTGGATGTGGCACTTAGTGCTGTGGTCTAACCGATGTGGTGGTACTGGGACACAGGCTGGACTTGATGATCTCATAGGTCTTTTCCAGCCTCAATAATTCTGTGATTCTGTGATCTGGTCCATCCCTTCTGCTCAGGCAGGATGACCTAGAAACAGTTGGCTGGGACCATGTTCAGATGTTTTTTGAATATGTTCAAGGTGGGGGACACAGCAACCTTCCTGGAGAACCTATGCCAGTGCTTGATCACTTTCACAGTAAATAAAGTGTCTCCTGATGTTCAGAGGGCATCTCCTGTGTTTTAGTTGGCGGCTGATGCCTCTCGTCCTGTCACTAGGCACCACAGGAAAGAGCCTGACTCTGTCTTTTCTACTCACTGGTGAGTATACAATGAATGAGCCTTCACCGGGCTAAACAGTCTCAGCTCTCAGGCTTTCCTCATAGGACAGATCTTCTAGTCCTCTCGTCATCCTTGTCATCCTTCACTCTTCAGTATGTCCATGTGTCTCCTGTACTGGGAGCCCAGAACTGGACCCAGCACTTCAGGTGTGTCCTCACCAGTGCTGAGTAGAGGGGAAGGATCACCTGCCTTGGCCTGCTTGCAAAGTCCTTCGAATGCAGCCCAGGACCATTAGCTTTCTCTGCTGTAAGAGCACATCTCTGGCTCACACACACCAAACAACACACAAGCTGAAGAAGTTGTTCTAGCTTTATCTGTTGGGCAAGTCAGTGGATTGACAGAACCACACCCTCGCACCTAACATCTCAGAAACTTGAGCTGATGTTACAATGAGAGGGGCCACATCACCCATTAAACCCCTCAGTATTTCTATTGGTTATTTAATGCTTAATATCAACTAGAGATATGAAGTTTTGCTTCCACATTAATTTTTTTATATTATTGTACAATCACA